ACAGGGGGTTGGAGGTGGGGGTGAAGTTGGGGGGGGTGGTATCCCTCAGCCAAGCCTGCACCTCTCCAATCTGGGATCCCTCGGGGGAACACTTGGATATCCCTCTCATAATCCAGGACTGCTGGCTCCTAACCACTTGCCTGCCTGCCTGCCTGATTGCCTCTAACCACTCTGCCTGCCAGCCTGATATCCCCTAACTGCTCCCCTGCTGGCCTGATTGACACTTAAACTGCTCCCTTGCTGGCATGATCATCCCCACTGTCCTCCCCTACTGGCCCAATCGCCTCCAACTGCCCTCCTCTGCTGGCCTGATCACCCCCAACTGCCTTCCCCTGGGGGGCTGAGGGGCCTGGGAAACTCTGGCTGGATGAGGTGGGCCTGAGGGGACTGGGGGACTGAGGCTGGATGAGGCAGGGCTGAGGGGACTGGGCACTACCATCTTGTGGCTGTGGGCACTGCCATCTTGTGAGGGCGTTGCAGTCAATTAGTATAGCCTCTCTTTATTGGTTGTGGGTGCCACCATCTTATGAGGGTGTGATGGTTAATTAGCATATTCCCTCTTTATTAGATAGGATTGTATGATTTTCCATACGAACAACTGTAAACCAACTTTGACCCACCCTGTATACTTTCTTTCCCAGAAAACATTAAGCCAGTTGGGCTCCTGAATCTTCCCAAAATTACGTAAAATAGAAATGAGACTAGAAAATGCACATGAAAGAATATCAAGTTTCATACAACTAAATTATTTTTGCACAATGTTCTGCTTTTCTTCCTCTCCAGCAAAGCAAAACTTCCTATGCCAAATTCTTCCATAAGCCCCTTAAGATTGTTCTTCAATGACAAGAACAAATGAGTGCTGTTAATGATTTTCAGATTGTAAGCAATAATTCTCATATAAAACAATTTTTTCCTTGAGATTTGCCAAACTTTTCCTCTCCAAAAAAATTGTATCCTTGCTCTAAGAATTATTTACTGGATCATCTGTCCAAGCTAATTTTTACTTTGAATGAGAACCAACAGAAGAGACAACTTTTCAAGAGATGATGAATTGAAAGCCAGGAAAACATTTTCTACTTTGTAGAATTGAATCCACATTGAATTATAGATAAATCTGGCAGTATCAAAGTAAAGAGTTTGTCAGCATATAAAACTCCACCTCCTTTTTTATGTTTCAGAAGGAATGGTCAGTTTTTATCATAATTTTTAGGGGCAAACACCATTAGTTTGGATCACATCTCTCATGTGAAGAAACATGCCATGAGTCTTTACCTTCTCTCTAGGCACAACAGATTGTTCTGGTTGATACATGTTTGCAAATGAACCTTTACAGACATAAGGGACGAAGGGTAGCATTATGCAAATACAGTGTGTTTGAAGAGGGCAGTGAAACAGAAACTACCAATTTCCATAATGAATGTTATCTTTCAAATGTCTTCAGAGCAAATTCTGTCCTATCAGCCATACAGCATCTTGTAAATGTTGACATTTTTGGCAATTGTTTCTTATGAGGGGTAAACAAGACAAGTTAAATTAAAAAATCATGACCCTAATTCATTTTAAATTAGAACAAAATAAGAAATATTTTGTAAATATTGGCAGGATATAAATTATTGTTAAATCTTCATTCTTCAAAAAACACTTTGGTACTGAAGATCAGGAATAAAAAAAGAACCAGCTGTCTATGATGTAAATAAATCAAGTAGTCACGGCTGTGTAAGTTGAAAATGCTTCACATTTCCTTAAGAAAAGCATATGTGTTTTGATAGATAGAATACATTTAATTTCAAGATTTGGTATAAAATAAAACAAAATCACTATATTAAAAATATTTTCATGCTGGAAATAAGCTAAACTGAGTCACAATGATTTATCTGAGAAATGTTTCATTTTCCTTTCGCAAGTCTACCAAATATTTACGCCAGGTGTCGTACAATCACATCACAGCCTCAGGTGCTTCTCAAACTAGTAAAGAGTTGAATTATATATGAAGATTTCCAATACATACAATTATATAGATATTAAAATGTATATTCTCTAAGCTCTTTGCCATTTCCCCCCTTTTGATTTTAAATTTTGGATAGCCCTCAGAAAGATGCATCTCAATCCAACAGAGAACATGAGAAGTAGATGAGGAGGAGAAATTCGGTAAAATCCCCAGCTTTCTAGTGTGGGGGAGTAGTATAAACTACACCATGATCACTGGTACATGAGGCTGGGAGATAAGTTGGGGATCTGGTTTGGAGGAAGGGGAAAGATGCTGACTTAGAGTTACTACAGTTATCTCATGCAATCAATATCTGAATACCTGAGATGCTATCAGGCCTCAGGAATTATTATACATAGGCAGCGAGACATAAATGTCTAGTCTAGATCTGAGAGTCATCAGGTGATATGTGGAAAAAGTCTGAATGAGACCACTCCAAACGAATATAAAGAATAAGAGAAAATGTAAACTGAGATACCTCTAGAAGAACAGATTTAAGAGAAAGGCAGAGAAAGAGGAGCCAATAAAACAAAAGTCAGAATACAGAAGGTAAACCAAGAGAGACAGGTGCTACAAGTGGAGAAGTTCAAGAAGCAGAAATAAGTAGTATCAACCTCACAAATTTAAGATGAGGCTTGAGAAATCCTTATTAAATACTTCAACTTGGAAGTCAGTGGTGACATGAAAGCAGCAAGGAGGAATAGGGTGACTTTTTTACTGGCGTAGGCGCAAAGGAGAATTACATGGTGATAGTGAAAGGAAAGATTCTGAGCCAGGAGAACATACAAGACTAAAGAAGACTGAAGAGAAGAAGTCAATGTACACCAAACTGAAGATATAGGAAAGATAGTGGTTTTAATGTTTTATCCAAATTAACTTGTGCATCTCAATATTTTCTTCCTTGGCTTTAACCCACAGAAATAATTACAGTGTCTGTTTCAGGGACCAGCGTTTGGAGAAAGCAGGTATATTCTTTAATGGAAAACCTTTCCAGATTCCACTAAACTCCAACCATGCTTCTTTCTCTGTATACACATCAGAGTACACGTACATGCACACACACAGACAACTTCTAGACATATGAGCACCAGAATTATTATTTTGCTGTTTTCTCCTTTTCAATAGAAAACAATACTGACTTCTGTTTTTAAAAGATACAAATTATGGAATTTGAGAAAAACATTTCAATGAGAAAAAAACAATCACAGAATAAGCAAACTGTAGAACAAGAGCTTAGCGGGTATAATTGAAAAGATGCTAGATCACACCTTCAGACTGAGGGCTTGTAGTAACTAGGTTTTAGGACTATGAGTCAGGTCAGCCACCTTCTGGACCTTTGTTTTCTAAAACGTAAAGAGATCACTGTGGTCCCATCCAGTCTTAAAAAGATCGTGATTCTGGTACTGTGTTTATTTCTAGGGAAAGAGAGCAGGGCTCAAAGAAGACAATTCAATGATGTGAAGAGGCTGTCGATTTTCAGTTAAATGTTCTTTATGCTATGAAAAATTTAAGTTCTTATAAAGTTTGAATACACTGATGATATTTTTTAAATGCTCTATTCCTTCTCTCCCCAAAATCACATTTTCAAGACTGGCACAGCCAAGGCTACAGTAAAAAGCAGACACGTGCAGAATGTCTCTCCTAATATCCAGCTTAGAGGTTCTCTGGTCCAGTCATGCTAGACGATGGCCCTGAGTCATTTATCAAAGAAACAGGACACACCATGCGGGTACGTGGTGCCATTATCTACACTGTGTTTAGGGGTATTCTGCCTTCGACATCGGGTGCACAACATTCCCGATTCCACTGGAATCCTGGGAGGCCCCTAGGTTCTTCTGGGACAAACTGAGCCTGATGCCCTATCCCGGCTCTGTTTTGTCTTCCACGTCACAGTTCTGTAAAGGCATCAAAGATGGCACTGCAGCAGCTCCTGAACACTTAACAGGCTTTTCGATTTACTTTCAAAAATAGATACAGAAAAATCCGTATAAGTAGCTACATAAAAGACAGAGTGGAGATGGGAGAAAGGAGGATATTAGAAAGAAAGAAATGTTTATCATTTCATTATTCTTTATACAGGATCAAACCAACTTATTTTTTTTGAAGGAGAGTTTGAAACTTTTTATTTAAACATCTAAAAATTATTCATATTTTGTTGAAAATAATCTTATAATGTTATTGTTTAAATAATTCTTGGAATTTATAAACATTATAAAATATATAGTAAAGAGGTAAATCTTTAGTCAGGTGATATATCAAATACAGATTAATTTTCTTAGCACTAAAACTCAATTCCCCCAGCCAAACAGCTCATTTCATCCAGAAAAACAATAACACCAACATTTTTTTTTTCTTTAAAAAAAAAAAAGATATTTTATTGATTTTTCACAAAGAGACAGAGAGGGACAGAAAGCTATTGTAGAAACATTGATGAGAGAGAAACATTGACCAGCTGCCTCCTGCACACCTCCCACCAGGAATGTGCCCACAACCAATGTACATGCATGCCCTTGACTGGAATCGAACCTGAGACCTTTCAGTCCGAAGATCGATGTTCTATCCACTGTTTCAGCAACACACCAACATTATTAAGATTACTTTTCAAAATACACCCTAAAGAGTCTGCCAACTGTATAAAACATGAACTTATGATACTAAAAAATTCAATAAATTTCTTGGTCAGTTTCTTTAGTTAATGCTAAATATTGTTACAGCATTAAAGTTCCATTGCAAACTACTGTTTCATTCTTTAAAAAATATTACAAAATTGCTAAAATGTATTGTTTTACCAAATAGTCTATTTTAAAGAGAAAATGATAGTCATTAAAAAATCTTCAGGGCAAAGGCTAATTTAATATAAAAATACATTCCTTTAGTCAATCTCTTCAGTCTAATAATCCCAGAAATTTCTTTAAAGGTTACAAACACTTTTACACTATCTTGAATTTTATATAATTACTGATTAGGCAGAGCAACAACCAGGCATAATGAACACACGGTGATGTCAACTCACCTAAATAGGGAATGCAGGGTGTCATCTTTAAGCTACTTATATAGTCTCTGAGTCTTTTGTAGTTATCTTCTTTACTCATTACATATTCTAATTTTTCAAAGGTAGTTTTGTCTTTTCGACTTAGTAACTAAAAAACAAACAGAAAAGCCTACGTTATTTCCAAATCCCATTTGAAGTTGTGTTGTATTTACTGTAAATTTGAATTTAATTTCAAAGTTATACATTCTTTAATTATATTTTGGTAATACATAAATAATAAAATCAGACATGTACATAAAATCATTAAGTTAGTAAATTATAATACATTATTTTCATCTTTGCTATTTTAAATGGTTAAGCAATTTTTGTTGACATGTTTTTCTTGACAAATTTAACTATGGCCACAATATTTGTAAACTGGTTTACATTTTTGGATTTTTGACATTTTTTTTTTTTATCCCTTTTATCCACACAGTTGAGTAATCAACTGAAACTGTTTTAAGAGGCTTGAGGGTAGATTTGTTGTGCATGCCCTTTGAAAAACATGAAGATAATCAAGGAGAATAAAAGAAAGGCAATGTCAGTCACCCAAATAATATCTACGCTGCCCTGAATATCAGCAAATAGTTTCTCCAATATCTGAGTCGATGTCACCTCTCTGGACTCATCTCCTACCATCAACCACTCCCTAGCTTACTCCACTGTCAACACTGACCACCCTGCTATCCTTTGAACATTATTGGGACCTTTGTACTGACTACCACCCGTGCTTGGAATTCTCTCCTCCCAGATATCCATGTGAATGGCTCTCTCAATTCCTCCAGGTCTCTCCCCAACTCTCACTTATCAGAGTCTCTTACAACATATTATATGAAATACTTCCCTGCTTCCCCTTCTGTCTCATTTACTCTACTTTGTTTTTCTTCAGAGCGTTCATCACTATGAAACATCATTTATTTATTTACAGTTTATCTTTTCCCAGTAGACCATTAGTTATGTAAGAATGGGGCTGTCTATATCACTTACTGTTTTATGTTAAACAAATTACACAGTGCCTGGTATAGTATGGAATATTTTAAAATTTAATATAAACACCAAAAATTTTATTTAGATTAATAATGGAGCTGTTATTTAATTTTAAAAAATCTTTCCCATGCAAATACATGAAGGAGAAAATAAAAATATTTTCAAGGAAAATGAAAATTAACTTGAGGAAAATGTAGCTCATTTCTTAACCACAATATAAATCAGAGTGTAATTCTTTTCCCTAAAAACTTCAAAGATGGAATTCATAACTGTATATTTATAATCATTTCCATTCCTCCATGAAATTCAAATTAAGAAAAGAGAATTAGGACATCATAATTTAAAAATAAATTTTAAAGGAGGAAAACCCTTCACTCAGGTGTTTCTGAAATATAAAGAGGGGTGTAAGTTCTTCCACACTAATGTTTTTCCAATATAGAAATCTACCCCGGATTTCACGAGTAACATCTGTCTGCAGACACTATGAAAAGTGAAAGTGACACTAGGCTAATCCCTTTAACATTGAAGAACAGTATTAAATATGAACACACTTATTTAAATGAAACCCCCCAAAAGTTGACTAAAAATTAATGGAAACTAAGTATACTTTTTGAAACTTATAATTTAGATTTTCCTTAAACTTTTCAAAAGCATAGTTTTTTCATGATTAAATGTATTTACACTTCCCATCAGTAAATATGAAAGTCTGTACTGTCTAGATGCTTATTAAAGACAAGCAACAAGTTGTAATTTATCCCAAAATTATCAGATAAGCCTCCTGAAACACTTGAGACATAAAAATGTAGGTTTCAAAGAACAGAAGACAAAGTGATTTAAAGATCCTTATCTATTATCATAACATTAACCTTACGAAGCACTACAAAAGAAACGAATACATGGTTACTTCCAATAGGAAATCTAACCTTTCATTAACTTGAGGAGGATTACTCACCGCCCATGTTTTGGTCAACCTAAAAATCGGGGCACTCTGTAAGCCAGAAACCACTGCCATTAGTGCATGGAGGTTGTTTAGCTCGTACAGTTTCTGAAGATTTAAGAAAAAGGGAAGAGGTGACAAAGAGCATTAATACAAAAAAATCTTTAGATGAACAAGTAAAATCTAGGTAATTGGTAGTGTCAATACTTTGTACCCTCACTGTTGAGATGTGTCTTACAGAACACCCCTATTTTACCCCTAAGTTGCCTTTGGCCCTCAACAGAAATTCTGTGTTCTAACCTGGCATTGCCCCCAAGCTCTGGGAACCAATTTTCTTTTTCTTAGGTAATATAATAACAAAAACAAAGATATGGCTCATATCAACTTCACCTGGTACGATCGATCATGCACTCTGGTTCTCGGCAAGCAGTCTCCTTCTTTACGCTAAAATATTACTAAGCCTCTGTCCTAAGATCTAAGTTTCAAGAAAAGGATCCTGATTTGGTTTCCTACTCAATACCCCCATTATTCAGGGTTAAAGCTCAAACCTGCTTTTGACAGTCCTCCTCACTCCCCTGCCTCCTCCTGCCCGAATCCCCAGATCCAGGCTTCCTTGTTCATGCTTGGACATCCACCTGCTTCCCAGGATCAGAACTTGCTTTTACTTTTTACCTTACAGTCTCCTTGCAGACAACTTGTACCTAATAATAACTTCCATCCGTTTGCCAAGACATCTGCTCGACACTGTGATTATTCCCAGACTTCTTCATACTATGAGATGTTTACATCCCAAGAGCCTTATATAAAAATCAGTCATTTAAAATGGTCCTAAGCCCTATCAAGCGACTCCAAGACAAAAAGCCTGTTCTGAACATTAGAACAAAGAGAAGAGAAGGGTCCTGTTTCTCTGGAGAATTCAGCCAGTATGCCACCTTAACTCAGGTCCCAAAGAATTCCCATAAAGTCTCAAGAAATATAAACACAAGTAAAAAAAAAAAAAAAAAGGGAAAACACACAAGGAAATAAGAACTCACAAATGGAGAACAACATCAGGTATGGCCTTCAAATAAAATAAGATTAAATGTGAAGGCCCTATCCAGAATGCAACATAAAAGCCAATGAGTTTTAAAAATTCTTAAAGTTAAGGGACATGAAAGGTACAGCAAAAAAGCCAACATTTATCTCATTTGTTAAAAGATAGTAAAAAATAATGGGATAGAAACAATATTTGTGAGATAATGGCAGATTATTTTCCCAAATTACTAAAAGACAGTCATTCCTAAGGCCAGGAACTCAAGGAATCCCAAACAGAGTAAATACATTAAAAGAACAATAACCTGTAAGTCTGAAATAGCATTTTTTCAAGAACAAGTGTGACAAAAAGGTGCTGTCAGGAAAAATAAAGAGAGCTTTAAGAAAGAAGGATTTTTAAGAATGCTGCTGGAATTATTATTCATGGAAAATTATCAACTGGAATATGTAACTCATTCATATTACAGATATGGAAACCCCTTAAGAGAGAAAACTGAGGTTTCCTGGAGAAGAAATTCCGCCTCCAAGCTGCAGCCTCAACTCCTGCCTCAGGTTCAGGGCTGTCTACGTGCCCTACAGCTGTCACACTGCCAGCCCCAACCCCAACCCCAGGAGTCATTCTTTAAGTCACTTACACATTACGTACTTATACATATTTATACATATTTCACTGCCTCCCAGAACCCGAACTGAGACAACCTACAGAAAGAAGAGAAGACCTGCCAGCTTTGTAACAAACTTAATGTAAAAGGCAGAGAGTCAGAACAGATTTAAAAGACACGGATGAGACAGATAGTTATAAAATTAGGGCTTGTGATAAATAAAAGCAAGCACCGTCAAACATAACTCAAAGTCTAAGAGTCTAAACTGGAACTAAATGCCTACTTGATGAGCAGGATAATGGCAGGTTTAATGGGCAAAAGTTGGTGATTTTAAGTAGAATATACAAGCACATTAAAAAACTAACAAAATTATGAGAAAACAATAATGCAAATTCATAATCTATGGAGAAAAGTCATGAATTTTTATAAGCTAAAACCCAATATTTACCTAACATACCACTACGAATGTTTTAAAAATTTTTATGACACTTGCGCAGAATATCGAAGTTTAGAAGGCTAGTTCTGCCATCTAGTGCCACAAAATGTTAGAATCAATTGTTCCATGAGCTCAAGGAAAATAAGCAGGAGGTATGACTTACAATAATTGTAATTTTACAGTAATTACAAAACTTAAAACGATGAAAATTGTATACTTATTTAATTACATCTTCATTCATTAACAGGTGAGCTAAGTTATATAATTATTACAAGAAGAATGATGTGGCTACAAGTGCACCACTTTTTAGTGAACTTAACATAAATTTAGAGTTGTTACAAGTTTTTAGATTTTTTTTTTCAGAGAGGAAAGGGCAGGGGTGGGGGGTGGGGGAGAAACAATGATTGGTTGCCTCCGGTTTATGCACCGACTTGGGATTGAACCTGTAACCTGGGCAAGTCCCCTGACCAGGAATAGAACCCGCTATCTTCTAGTGCACATGTGTCAAACACACGGCCCGCGGGCCAAATCCGTCCCGCCAGGCCTTGCAATGTGGCCCGCACCGCGCTGTCATCACTGCACTCTGCTGCGTTTCCATCACAATGACAGTTTATGACTGTTCAGTAAACCATTCGGCCCGCGATTTAGGCTGGATTTTAGATTTTGGCCCCTTCTCTGATTGAGTTCGACACCCCTATTCTAGTGTATGGAATGATGCTCCAGCCAACAGCCACCTGCCAGGACATGGAGTTGTTACAAGTTTTAATAAAATCTTGGGATCTTCTTATGGAATGTTTGTTCCATCTTCCTCTCTAAATTCTGTCTGTCCTTTAAATATACGTTTAATTTCTCTTGCTGCAATTATTACATATGCCTCCCAATAACTATGCAACTAACATATTTGGTTAACACACTCATTTATACTATTCTTTTAAAAATAAAGTCCTATTATTCCCCACATCCTTAGCAGAATGATCTATTTCAAAAACAACTAACTGCTATGCTTTCTCCTATTTAATTCTACAAGGCTTTCTTAATCACTTGCAGTATTTACTAGTAAATACAGGACTTCACCATCATCTGACCTGTCTACTTATTCAGTCAAATAAATCATGGCATTCAGCTATTTTAATAGAGGGAGAAAAAGGTATGAAAGATATAAAAGATAGAGAAATAAAGAAAAAAGTGAAAAAAAACAAACATCTAGTTTAAAAAAATGACTTGTATGAATCAACAGGTCTTACTTTCCAGGATCAATAAGTAGTAAATAAAGTATCACAGGCAAATATTCACAAACATTGCTGAGTGGTTGAACTAAAAAAATAGAAACACAAGTTTTTCTTACCTTTGCAGTTTTAATATAGTGGCTCAAAACTTCTGCCCTAATTTTTAATGTTTGAGCATGAAGAATCTCTCTAACAACCCAAAAGCTGACCTGCAAATAAAAATTAAAAATAGGTGAATGGCAAGATTCTTTACTCACTAGGATCACAGTAATGACAAGAGCTACATGAAGACCCAGCTAGAGCTTTCTCTTTCCCTTGACTCACCACCAGGACATAACTAATCTTCAAATATTGCATACACGTCACATATATAGACAGATATAGATACACATATGTGTATAAGTGTGCACACACATAAAAACTCCACTACTATTTTTAATTTGTAGAAGCTAATATAAGTTTTGAAGGAAAAGAGCTGAGAGAGTGCAATAAAGCCAGCGTAATACAACGTGAACAAATACAAGTGTTTTTTGCTGTATTTTGAAAAACTTTGGCAGAATCGGGTAACCTCTTTGGATAATAACACAGAAATTATAAAATAAAACATTGCGCTAGCTGGTTTGGCTTAGTGGATAGAGCCAAGGGCGGTAACTGTGGTTATAGGAGGCCCTGGTCAGGGTGCATGCAGAAGGCAACCAATCAATGTATCTCTCTCACGTAGATGTCTCTGTCTCTCCCTCTCCCTTTCTCTACAAATCAATAGGAAAATATCCTTGGGTGAGGATTAACAACAAAAATAATACAATAAAATGTTGAAAATAATTTAAGGACTTAAAAAATAAGGAAAAATGACACGAGGGTAAAACCACAGGTTTAAAACAGATATGACACTTCTGAAGAGAATGAGTGAACTAAATTATAGGTCTGAGAAAAATCACACAGAATGAGCACAAGGGAGAGGAAACAACATATGGAAGGTTAAGACAAGCAGGAAAAAGTGATAAATTCTAACAAATTTCTAATAGGAATTTGAAGAGATATGGCCTGAAAATGTCCCAGAACAGATGTAAAGTTAAACTATTTCTTTATAAAAAATTACATATTGAGGAATTATATTTTAGGAACTAAACATCAAAACTTTATAAGCAACTCACATGATTAAATCTTCTTGTGAAGGCAACTGCATTTGGTGCAGAACTATATTTTTCTTTTTTATTCCATCCACAACTTGAAAGCTCCTGAAAATTAAGTTGAAAATTAAACATAAACTCAAGAAATAGCCAGGTTTTCCTGTCATATTAAGGCTTTCAAAACGTTAAAGACAGTTGCATCCCTTTCCAGAGCTGTCTTATTTAGTAAGAATAGATGTAACAAACATTACCACCATTCAGTAAAATCACAAAAGCAAATGCTATTAGTAGCCGAGACAAGGGTGAACACAGATGACTTGAGTTCTGCTCTATAGGTAGGCTGATGGGTCCTCCTCTGAAGAGGCTTGATTCTCCAGAGGAAAGATCCACAGATGGTGAAAGCCGAGCATCCCACAGCCCAAAGTATAACAGTTAAAAAATATTTTGATAAGTGTATTTTGATAGAATTTATTTCCTTTCATTTAAAAAAGTGTTCAGCCCTGGCTGAGTGTCTCAGTTGGTTGGAGCATTGTCCCATACACCAAAAAGTCTCGGGTTTGATTCCTGGTCTGGGAACATTCCTACGTTTTGGGTTTAGTCTCTGGTTGGGGCACACTGGGGAAGCAACCAAGCAATGTTTCTCTACCTCTGCCTTCCTCTCTTTCTAAAATCAATAAACATATCCTTGGGTGAGGATAAACATGAATGAATGAATGAATGAATAAATGAATGAATGAATGAAAATAAAAAAGTGTTTAGTTCCACAGGCTTGTCTGAAGGGGTCCAACATTCAAAATAAGAGCCCTGCTGGAACACGCAAGACCACCAGAAAGAAACCCAGAACCTATAGGAAGAAAAAAAGAACTCAGGAAACTGAGTTAGGGCAGGGAACAAAAGAAAACTGAAAAAAGAAAAAGACAAAACTATGTAATTATTATTCTCAGATAGATAAGAATAAGCATTGCTCCCATTAGAAAAACCAGGAGGATTACAAAAAAAAAAATAACCAGAGGAAAAAAAAATAGAGCTTTTAGAAATGAAAAATAAAATTTGAAACACACACGCACACACACACACGTATATATATACATATATACATATATATACACACACACATACACACACACACACACAAACACAGAATTGTGTGATAAAGTGATAAAATCTTTTAAACAGTAAAAGTAGGAACAAAAATGTAATTAAAAGAGTCCGTAAGAGTCAACATCTGAATAAGAAAAATGATTTTAAGAGAGAACAGAGAAAATGGAAACTTATACAAGAAAACTCATGAAAATGCTCTAGATCTTGAAGGACAAGAAAAGATGTGTCTAGGACCTATTACAATGAATTAAGAGGGGGGAAAAGCCTCAAATGGAGGCCTAGGATAAAAAAAATTATAATATACTAGACACAAAATCATAAAACCTGTCAAATTAAAAATTAAACAAAAATATATCACATACAGAAAAACAGGAATCAGGTGGTTATCAGATATCTCAATAGCAACACTGGAAGCTAAAAGATCACTGAGACAATGCTATCAAATTCCTAGAATTCTAAATCCATAAAAATATACATTAAGTATGAAAGTATACTACAGACATTCTCAGACATTCAAGTCTCAGAATTTTCCTTCTATGCACCTATTCTCAGAGAACTGGTAGAATGTGTTCCATTAAAACAAACTAGCAAATTAAACAGAAAAGAGATGGGATCCAGGAAACCAGAAGCCAACAGAGAAAGAAAATATTTGAAATCCCCAGGTTAACAGTAAAGGGAAATCCTGAACAAAGCATTGAACAGACCTTAAAGAACAACAGTCCAGACAGTAAGTACCAAGAGGACAGCGATCCTAAGAGACTTGAGTCTCTGAGAGAGGAAAGATATCTGAAGTGTTTAAACAAACTGAGTGGACACACTCAATACATTTACTTCTGGCAGAAAAATTAGTGAAAGTACAGAAAAACTAATAGAAGTTATTAGCTTAAGGAAAACAGAATTTAAGAAATCATGGCTCAACTGTAAAGAATAATTAAGCCAAGAATAACTTGTGCCTTACAACTAAGCCATGGTTTACTGATTCACGTGACACAACTATATGGGAAAAAGAGGAAGTGAATTGTGTAAATGTGAGGGGAAGAGATTATACGAGAGTGAAATCATCTTCCATAATAGAGTGTCAATAAATCATATCCAAAATTTTAAAAAATCACAAATAACAGGCATTTAGATTTTGAAAACTGGACATAAACTCCTCCAAGGAGGAAGAGCTAAGAGACTTTGGTGTGGGGCTCAAGGGTGGAGGCTGGAAGGGTGGGAGCAACTGGACTTGGTATTGCTATTTATGTTCTCTTCTGGAAATATTTAAATTCTTAAACATGATGCATACATGTCTTCAATAAAATTTAAAATGAAATAGAAACTAACACAAAGGAATGGACTGAGTCAGGGAAAGTTTGAGGAAATATGATACTACAATACTCCCAAGAAAAATGTAGTTTCCTCGACTAGGATGGATCAATGGATATTGAAAAAAGTGATATATTCAAGTTATTGTGGAGGCAAATAGGACTTGGTAAAAATTTGGACTCATAAGCCAAGGATGAGGTATCCAGAAGTACTAAGATTTCCAAGTTTCCGACTGGAGCAACTGAGACGGGTGTGATGATATTGCTTCAACACTGCTGATAAGCAGTAAATACTCTGAAGATATAAATTATTAACATTTTTAAAACCTAAAATTATATATATAACTATCAAATTTGATATTACTGAAGGAAAAAATAAAATGAAGCAACTCTATAATAAAAAAATTGCTTGGTACTTAGCCTAGATATATATATGCTCATTTCACATTATATTCTAGTACAGCCAAAAATATTCAATGGTAGATCATACATTAACATAAAAATAACATTATATAATTGTATTAGAAAACATCCACCTCCTAGAAAACATTTTTATTCCTCCTAAAAACCAGTCTTATACAACTATATAAAAATGCCATAGTTTCAGACAAAATTCCTGGATTAAATCCATAAATACCAAAATTTTTAACCAATTAATACAATTTCCAAATTTATACTAATGCTATGATCAAAGTATCTCTATCAAATTGCTGTTAAACTTATTAATCCATTCAATGCAGCCATGTGACAAAAAGTACAAACTAAATTATAGAGCTTTTCACATAAGGCAAATTTCATTTTCCTGCTAAAAGGTTATGCTATAAATAATGAATATCCTTGTGTCTTTTCCTACATTTGTGATCATCTCCTAAAAACATAGTACTGTGAGTAAAACCAGTAGGTCAAAGAGTATGAACGTTTTCAAGGCTCTGACATGTAATTGCCACCCTGAAATACTGAATTATTTATATTAGCACTACACAACAGTCATACCAAAACTGGGTATATTTAATTATGAATTAAGAAAAAATTCTTAATTTTTCTTAGAGGGAAGGCAGGGGAGGCAAGAGATCAACCAAAGGATTTGTATGCATACACATAAGCATAACTAATTGAAACAGACAGTAGTGGGGTGAGGGCCTGTGCTGGAGGCATAAGTGGGCAGGGAGAGGTTATTGGGGGGGAGGGAGGGAAAGAAGACATAGGTAATACTTTTAATAATAAAGAACTAAAAATAAAATAAAGACTAGTTATGTTTGTTAAATAGAGGGAAAATAGGGAGTGGGGCTCTGTGAATCACCTATGAACCCACCACCCAAAGAAAACCTCTATAATACACATCTTCCCAACCTTCTTGATGTGTTTATGGGACCTGGAATTTTATTTCTTTAAAACAGCCATTACACCTGACATTTTCTGTGTGATTTAATCTGAGACTTTTTGCTTTAAAAGTTCTTCTCATCCTGAGAACTGATATCTTAACGGCAGCAATAAAAATAATAGTTAACACCAATTTAAAGATGACTATGTGTGAGCCACTATACATACCAACTCATGCGATCCTACCTTCACCTTTATATTATGAATAGAGGCCCGATGCATGAAATTCATGCCAGAGAAGGCCTTCCTTCCCCCTGCTGCCAGCACCGGCTTCCCTTGCAGCCCCGGCTTCCATCAGGAAGGTGGTCTGGTCTAATTAGCATATTACCCTTTTATTATTATAGATAGGTAAGGACCTTACACAAAAGTACTGGTGACTTATGGCTTTATGTTTTACATTTTTCCTCAAATGAAAAATGCCGAGAGGTTTTAAAAAATTTAATTCTTGGAACATTTCCACATCATTAACTTAATGGAAAAATATGTTGCCCCTTTAAGAAGATTTTGTTGGAAGATGGGTAGAGGGCGATGAATGAATCTGTTGTCATATTATTTGGGGAGCAAATGGATTAAAATTCAATTGGAGACCTCCATTAAAAATAAATGTATAATTAGAAAATATGAAGGTTTTAAAAAAAATTACTTAAGTCGGTATTTTCTACTACAGAAAATATTTCCCTTTGAGACAATGTCACATTACTAGTCCATCTAAAACAATAAACCACAAGAACTCCAGAGATGGAGACCAGACTGGCAGTTGCCAGGAGTTAAGGATGCTGGGGTTGGGGTAGAAGTGAGATAGGTATGACTTAAAGGGGGAAGTAGCACAAGGGAGAGATCTTTTCAATAGAAGTGTTCCGTATCTCTACTGAGGGGATGGTTAGACAAATATACTAGAGGCCCGGTGCATGAAAATTCATGCACTGGAGGAGGCATCCCTCAGCTCAGCCTGCCCCGTTACAGTCCGGGAGCCCTCAGGGGCAAAGGCGACCCGGCGATCAAGGGAAGGCAACGCCCCATCACACTTCTGCTGCTGCCACTGCCGGCAGCACAAGCCTCGGCTGGCCCTGGTTACCTGAGCGTCGGGCAGCCTTGGGTGGCTGGGCAGCTGCCATCTGAGTCTTGCCTGCGCCTCGGGCTGGCCCTGGGTGGCTGGGGGTCAGAGGGCACTGGGGACTTGGGAGGCAGGCACCTTGGCTGGGCTGAAGGAACTTGGCATTACCATCTTGTGACTGTGGGCGCCACCATCTTTGAGAGTGGGGCAGCAATTAGCATATTCCTGTCTTATTGATGTGGACGCTGCCATTTTTGTGATGGTGT